ATAAAAAATCAAACCTATCTGTGCGGACATTATTAGTACTAGCTCTCATACGATCCCATTTATTCTCCCTTCCTTTTTAGATATGTGAGCACAAAAAAAAAGCTATGGAAATTTTTAAAAAGTGTACTCTCTCTTTTTACAATTATCAAAAAAAATTATTTTCACTATTATAAAAAGAAAAATATTTTGTGCGTATGAAGAAAGAAAGAAAGTTATTTATATTAAATTTTACTAATTTTATAATATTTTTTAAGAATTTTATTATAAATGTTAAAAGAAGTAATGTATCTGAAAGGTCATGTATTATATGACATATTTTAAAGAAGGAGAAAATTTAAACGAGACGATGTAACTTTAACTAATTATTATATACTTAATATAATTTTATATTAAATGTAAATTTTTTAAAATTTATTGTTCTATTGAAAATCACTCTAAGATCATATATACATAATTTTATATTAATCTAAAATGATTTGATATTTTATTTTTATAGAACAAAATTAATGTAATATATACAATTTAAAATATACTAAATATGAACATTTTAATTATCTTCGAATTGTTGTTTAATTTTAACAAAATTTGATATAAACATACAAGATGATATCAAATTATAATTTAATAATTAGATTGACAAAATTCATATTTAATATAACATTATCGAACGGTATAACAATTAGATCATATGTTGTTTGAACCTTTTTTTTAGAGAGTATTGTTAATGCTTTGTTTGGGGAAAGGGGAAAATTGAAGGGAATGAAAAAAAAATAATATGAGAATTGATTTGACAAAAAATAGGTAAAAAGTAATGTGAAATTTGTAGTTGTTTGATAAAGTATAGTTAAGTAAGAAATAGTGAGAAATTGGTATTCAAATATTATATTTTATATGGTTAAATTTTTATGTAAAAATATATTATTTAGGCAATTATATTTTTACTTTTTATTAACTAACTATTTAGATAATAGTGTAAGGTTAATTTTGTTCAAACATTTTTGTAAGAAAAATTTCACACAAATCCACCCGGAAGAGAATAGAATTAATCCACATGGATTCTATTATAATTTCATCACAAATATATTTGAATCATCTCCCCCAAATACATTTTTTTTAATTCCTTGATAATCTCTTTCTTTCTTTTCTATTTCCTACTAAATTACCTCTCCTAAATACATCATAAATAATACATATTTATTTATATTTAAAAAATGTCCTTTTTTTTATAATAGAAAAATAGAGGGAATAAACATTTGAAAAAACAAAATAATTTATTAATATCCTTCTCTAAATCAATGGAAGGAGCTTGCCTTACCCGTTAAACACCAAGAGAACATAATAAAGTGGTAAAATAAAAAAGTAGCCACTTGTTGGCGGTCTCATAAATATGGTTGTCACTCTATGGAGATGGAATATCAGAGGATTTCATTTTCAAGCATCATCCATAACGCATTGGGTTGAGTCCTCTTCTTCTTTGCCGACAACATTTGCATAGTTTGGATAAAATATTGTGAAAACAAGCATTTTTGTTCCTAGACTCCTGATTTTTCATATCCTATTTCATAAAAAATGGCCCATCTTTACATAATTAAAAACATCGGTAGAGTTTTAACGATGCAATTTTTATTTTTTATTTTTTTATTTTTATAATGGATATGAGGATATAGTGTGGGGTAATAAGGAGTGGTGGTTTGATACCTTGATGTGTCACTTCACCTGATTAATTTGCCTTACTTGTTGAATCATTATTAATTTTTTTAAAGAGATTCACGAGGAATCGATTAGTGACATCCAATAATGGTCTCACATTATAAGGAACATGTTTATTCGTTTTGATTCATTGGATGTTATAGCTAACTAGGCACATTATTGCCTATTAATTAAGACAACGATTGCAGGTATGGTGGGATTATGCTTGTGGTGATGTTTTTCCATTAGCAATACCACCAGAAAATTGTGAATAAGAAATTGCAGCTTAGCATCACAATATTGAACTAAAACAAAACAAATGTAGACAAATGGCAATGGTGAAAGCAGCTATCAAGAAACTGGACTCAGCCATTGTGTTGGTTTACATATGTGCATAGCAAACCCGTCTCTCATCAACAAATATTTTCCATAATGCTCTACTAGTTTGTACTTGTACACCATTAAACAAATAAATAAAAGACTCATAGTGTCATGTTTAATGATACCATAAATTAAGAAAACTGTAATATGCTAAAATAGATAGAGAGGTAGCGTTTCTCACTTCTAAATAATGCATGTCAAGTAAAAACACCATGAAACAATTTGGTTTTTGTGCCATTATTTAATTAGACTTGCGGAATATCTTTGATAAGGATCAAGCTAGAACGCCGTAATAAAAAAGTTGAAATGAAAAGAGTTTCACCATCCAACCCCTAAATTAGGAATTTTCTTTTACAAAGTAAATCAAAGGCCAAAAAGCGAATAAAAAATTACCACCTACTATATTTTGAATAAAGTTACCATCGGTTAGCGATATTTCACTTCCACTGTGCATCACAGCATCACCAGAAATGGAAAACGAAAATAAGACAGACAGAGAAGCATTATGAAAAAAAAAGGGGTCATATTCTCTCACATGCTGCGCACTACATGCTCATATAAAAATATAATGTACTACTTTTTGCGATGAGTGGAGTCATGGAGTCATCAGCTAGATAGTGAGTCATGCATCCTTTTCTAGGGGTAGGTTTGAAGATCATAATACGACCATTAATGTTTTTTATTTAATTGATTGGTCCGTTTTTTCCTTCTTATTTTTTATACATAAAAAATTACCATATTAATTAAAATTAATTATATTGGAGTCAAGAAAAATTATTAAACACAGTGATGTATTTTCTTCAAATATTTAACATATTGAATACTAAAACAGAAAATTAGATGTATGTGGTGGTGGGTTGTATAATTATCACTCAAAAGTGAACAAATTCTACTTGTTAGGTTGGATTGACAGCCGCCTTGTAATGGACCCAATTAATTGACCTGGCTAGCTAGTGTAGTGTCTAATGCATTGACAAGGTAAATAAATCTTGGTGTGCACATGTTCATTCTATGATTCGTATCTTTCTGATTGCAGTTTTCGCAATGTTCTTTGTCCACAAAATTCTCCCAATTATTTCCAAAAGATTCTCCAATGATAAGTTTCCCTTCTTATCCTACCATTTGCATGCTCCTATTTCCCGTTTTGGCTTCCTCAATCTCAGGCTGTATTCCGGGGAAAACAAGGCTCAAATATGAAAAAAAAATGATCCCTTTTTTCTTCTCTTAAATCCCATTTCAAGATTCATGGACGGTGTAATTTGCTAATGTTTGAGAAAGGGATGTACCAAATATCATTTTTCAAGTAGAAAAAAAAATTAAAAAAAAAAAACGAACGAGGAATTTCTCCGTATATATGTTAATGTACTATTTGGCTATTTGGTCCAGCTAGCTTTGACAACGCAACCACATGAACCATTTATTGACTAGTAGTAACATGTGGCCGTGCCATTAGCTATCATGGGTAGATAAAGCGCAATTTATTAGGTTATGATTATGGTACTCATCACACTCTCTTCACCAACCTTAACAGAATAAGTCTTGTCTTTGAGCTTATGTGTCTTGATATTCTTTAAAATCTTTGATAACCTCTGAATTTACAAAAACAATATTCATTTTACTCCTTTTTATACAAAATGACTGAACAGATAAAAAAAAAAAACCAAATAAAATGATTTTTTTTTTAATTAAAAAAAAAGATTCTCGAAATTTTATGGGATTAAAATGTCTGACTGATACTATTTTGAAAATTAACTTGAGAGTTTAGTCCAACCTAACACATCCTGCAACTGCATTAATCGACAAACTAGGAGTTGCATTGAATCAAACATCTTGAAAGAAAAGCAGCTACTTTATATGAATTAATTATATCATTGATATTACATAACTGCAAACCAAATCCAAGTTCTGGGCTGAGGCAATTCCTTTCTGTTAACAAAGTTATGGACAAGTTAATGCTTTATTTACAAGCCTTGTCGACATCCATCATCATTTTCAACAATATCATGAAGCCACCAAACTGCAAATGACAGAATAATCATGTTTTGAGTTTGTGGCTCTAGTTGAAATTCCTTCCATTTGAATACTCTTTATCGAGATGAGACTATTATATATAAAAGATAATGGGAGAAGAGTAGAGATGGGAATTGTAAGACATGGAGTATTGGGAAGTTAAGGTTGTTTAGAGAGTTGAGACACATCATGTGCAATTGGATTGGTAATCTCGTATATTCCACTCAATCCTCCATTGAATCCACACAACATTTTAAGATTGTGTTTAAGAAGTTGTGAAAATAAGATTATATTAATAATTGATTATTTATATAATTAATTATTATTATAATCTATTATAATTAAAATAAATTTTCGTTTGAATAAGTTTATTAAAAAACAATTTTAATATATTTAATTTTATCTGAATAAAAAAAATCAGTTATTATATAAAAAATAAAATTATAAAAAAATACTGTTAAAAAATAATTATAAGTTTCAAATTTTCAGGTTCATAAAAATAGTTTATTTTATTTTTTAAAAAAAGACTTATAAAATTAAGTTATTGATTCCAATGTTCAGCTTATTTTATAAACAATTTCTTTTTTTTCAAATAGTTAAAAGTGGGAAAATTAATCTCTCCCACGCATTCTCTAAATCATAATTTTATGTTGTATTAAGTTTAAGGGACTTTACGCAAACCATTTTCATTAATCAAACTCTGATATAATCACACGGCCGAATTTTACGAGAGCACTGGGGAAGAGCCCAAAAGGCCCATTGTGTGTGGCCTGTCAGCCATATTACAACCAGGATGTTTATTGTAGGCCCATTACCAAGCTGACACAGAATTAACCCATAATGAACTCTCCCTGGGCTTTGACCCAAAGATAGGAACAGAAAAAGGCCCAAAACAAACGATCTGGGGTAAATGAACGCAATTGCATTTCATTTTAATTTTTCTTAGAACGATGCTGCTGTTGCTGCTTCTCACTCAATCAGGCCTTGATGTCAACTCTGCGCTTGCTTTTCTCCAATGAAGGTCTATTCTTTCCCCCAATAATCAATGTATTATTCAATATTCATGTTTAAAGGACTTTTAGATTCTCAAAAGCTTCTTTTTTATTTTTATTTTTTAAAAGGGCCTGCTGTTTGCATTGCTGCTTGATCCTTCAATTGATTTTTTTTTTTAATTATGGAATTGGATGAGTATAATGATACAATTTTTGATTACTTGTAAGATTAAGAGAATATATGTGGGTTGGAAGGGAACAAGATGCTAACAGGTGTGAGGTAATGGGATGAGAACTTTGAATGTTCTATTGATTTTAAAGATCAATTGATGTGAACGTATATTTGATGGTGACTGGTGTGAGGTAACAAGATGAGAAGTGAAGAGTTTCATGCAGAAGTATGGTAGAGCAAGCAACTTCACGCAACCCGATTGAACTTAATGTGTCGTGCTGTTTTTAATGTGAATTTTAGAATGTATCTGATGTGATTACTCTTTATATCTTTGGATCTATCGTGCTTAATTTCTCATTTTTGGATTCAGTAAGTGTACACCTCCGTATAATTAACTTCATATTTCTACGTTCATGAAATGGGGATGTAGAAATAGGCTCACGTCTACTAGGTTCCTTCCTATTTCCTTGATTTTTCTTTTTATCATTCATTATTGTACATATTGGTTGTATTATTTTCTTATAAATATGATATCAGTTCAGCGTTTTTTTCACTGAACCATTAGCCTATATTTCTATGCTTCTAAATCTTTCTATGTTAACAGGGACTTATGCATTGCATTGTTATTAAGTGTTAGTTCTACAAAGAAACTAGGTTTCATAAGTAGCTGTTACCTTGAATGTTGAATAGATACTTGAGTAACTAAAAGTTCTTTCTTACTCTTAAACAAGCAGAATCTGTGAGTTTCTGCCATGCATGTTTCATAAGATTTTATGAATCACCCAGCACTTCTTCCTGCAGGCTTCAGCGAAACAAGTTGGTTGAAGTGAAGCTTGCTCAGCAAAGGGATCTTCAGGTTTCGTTGTCTGATATAATATAGATTGTACCTTGCCATGATGTGATTTTTTTTATTTTTTCTTGCTATGTATGGTCGGTGAAATTTTGATTTAAGGGATAGAAAAATGTAAATCTAATTTTGCTTCAAGCTAGAATCAGTGGAAAAGAGTAAGATATTGACTGCTCTAAGAGAAAATGTGAATTTGGCATTTTAAAGTCCTTGAAGCTCCTGCTGGACAGGATCATGCAGCAACCTCTATGCTCTGTGATGTGTCATAATCATAATTCATGCTATTATTATTTTTATAACTGACTCACAGGTTCCACATTTTCATTTTTCAAAAACATTTGTAGGCTGGAACCACACCCTAACATTTGTCTCCCAGGATTGTATAGCTGATCTGAGCAGTATATGACTCACAAAATTGATTACATGTGTTTCAGAGGTTGGAAGATAAAATATAGGTGATTGATTGCATTTCAGCTTTTTGTTCTCTTCCATGATGTAGATGAGGGCTCGGGTTGTGGCTTTAACTAAAAATTTATCTCTAATTATTGATCCAAGTGATATATAAATTTCTTGATTTGTAATTTTTGTAAGAAACAGAAATTGTGGGTTATTCTAGATATTCTATAGTTTCTTACAACAACAACCAAGCTTTTTCTCATTAGGAAGGGTTAGCTACTTGAATGAAACGGTGTCATAATATTCTACTGTGAATCATGTCTATAGGCAAATCCTTGAGTTCTAAATCCTTCTATTGTTTCTTACCTTGTTGATTTTTAGTTTTTGGTCATTGAGATCCATGGTCAACACAGATGAATATTTTAGGATAGGTACTGCCTCCTTTGGACTTATACTAATCTGCTTGTTTCAGTTTTTTAGTTTTATGCATCTGTTTATATTTGCCTTTGATTTTTTCTGGCTTTGGTTTCTATATCATGAATTTTATAACATATAATTTTTTATTTTTTATTTTATGTTCACTGGTATTTGTCAATTACTAATGCCTTGACATTTTATTCATCATCTCAAACTGATGACTGGAAGTCTGTTTTTGTGTGCATACCTGGATACCCATCATAACATACATACAATGACTTACCTCTTCCCCGGCAATCAACATACATATTCATGATTGAGCTGAGTGCAATGCTTTTCTTTCCTATTTATCCACTTGCTATATTCTTGCACAAATGTGCACATTTTGCCTTTGGGATAGACCTTTGTAATTGGCTTTCCTGGCTGGGCTTTGCTAGGATGAATCATGCTTAATACTGGTCTAGTACAAATGATATGAAGGTTTTTAATTATAATGGCATTGATACTCATTTTAATTTCAACTAGAAAATTCCCAGTGTTAAAATCACTGTCTATAATTGGTATTATACTTTCTTATTTACTGATATTGTAAAATGTTTTACACTATGAATAAAATTTGAACTCATTGTTGAATCTGCCTAATTAACTGGAACTAGAAGGTTAATTATTTTTTTTTTCACCAAGGATATCCTCTAAGAGTAATTTCTTTCAAGACGTAGAGATTATTGAAGTCGATTTTATCTCTCCTAATAAAGTTTTCTCCAGACACTGATTCCTTTTGGAAGGTTTAAGTTTCACTCTACCTAAATGCAGGAACTTACTGCTGATGTTGAAGTGTCAGAAAGAATATATTTGCAAGCTCGCATTGAGGAAATTGTCTCAGCGTGTTTATAGCTGGGAGAAAATGTTATGTTGGAATATTCATTAGACGTTGTGCTTCCTTGTTAGTTTTAGTATTTTAGGTGTTATGGCTGTTTCTTCTAATTTTAATTCTTTCCTTACGTAAACTACATGTGAATTTATGGTGCAGGCTACTGATCCTCTACAGAAGAACCTGGATAATGCTAAAGCCAGTTTAGAAGTTTTTTTTGCTGATCTACAGTTCTCAAGGGACCAGGTTACAGTAACCCAGGTCAGATTGCCAATTGTCAGGTACCCCATATCTGTCTGCATTTGCTGCATCTACCCGTCAAACTAAATCAATGGTATCAGACTTGCATTGCATGGCAAAGAATTGCAAGCACTTCACTACCTCTTAGGGAGTGCTTCGTAGGATGGGTGAAAAAATAAATGGTAGGAAATATAGAAGGGAGTGAAAATCGAGAGGAGAGGAATTGATGGGAGAGTTTTAATATCACATTTTTACTTTCATCTCTATATTTGGAAAAAATATATTTTTAAAAGCATGACAAATATTGCCATTCGCAAATTATCATTGTCAATGTTGTAAACCCTCTTGGTATCAAAATCGATTCCCACATATTAAAAAAAAAGTGACAAACTCATCGGTTTCTTCTTTTATTCTTAGTTATTAAGCAAGCACAATTTTTTGTTGTGCAGTTGTTGCTAATTTGCATCTCCTAATTGACATGAATTAGTTGTAGTTCTCGATCTTTTTTCTTTCTTTCTATATTTGATCAGGTTATAATTGTTGTTCATAATCGGAGAATTCAACCAGCTGTTGCCACAACGACTCGAGACTAGGAAAGAAAATTTTATACCTGCTTCTAAAGCTAGGGATTTTATTACATGATTAATTTACTAGTCTCTGTAACGCGTTTGGAAAGATACCATATCCTGGTCCATGGACCATTGGCATGTTTTATTCAGTGCAATCACATGGGTGTTTTTTTATTTTTTATTTTGATTTTGTAGTGTTGGTGATAAGGTTTATTGTCTGAGCAAGCTGGTATTTGAATTCAAAATTTGGACCAGCGCCCAGCGGGGTAATCGAAAAGGCCCACAGAATCTTTTGATTGAGAATGAAACATGTCGTTAAAATTATGCAAAATGAAGGGACAAGACGTGTTATTATACATGGTAGGGATGAGTAAATCCATTTGTACATGATGTAGATAATTGGTACTGGTCTAATAATACAATTTGTGGAAAGCAACAACGTAATAGAAAACAGGTTAATCCAAGATGTTAGACTTATGGTTTGAATGGTTGAGTTAGGTAAAGTGGCACTGTTATTCATGTGCCAACACAGGATTCGTTGTTGCGTTATAGCTTGACATATGGTTTAATATTATATGGTTAGCAGGCTAATTAATTTTATGGGCGTAGACTCATCACATGGGGACCCATAAACAACGGTCTGTCACACAAGTCAAAAAGCAAAATCGACCTTTGAACCAGTCTTATTATTTATTTATTAATATATATTTTTTGCACTTGTCTTTTTCTTATTCAGTTGCAAATATAAACTTTTTGCCAAATATCTGCAGCAATGCCTCAGAATTTTATTAGGGAGAACCACATGATCGGGACAGTGAAGTTTGCATAACGCTATGATTATGATACATTTGGGGAGTTAGGGTATCTTTGACTTGAAAATTAAGAACTAATTTCATATAACATTGAGATTTATTTAAGGAACCAATTTCTCTCAAACAATATATCTAAATAAGAGTCGTACTTGTTGAAACTATGAGAGATATCCTACAAAATCTGAAAAAAATAGGGAAGGGAAGAGATTTAAATCATTGAGAGATATTTTTGCATATATCTTTTGTTTTACCTCAATGACATTTTATGTCCACAAAAGATAGAGTTCATGATAAAATTGTGATCTATATAAACCTTTAAAAATTTGTTTTGATAAGTTCCATGATCAAATTTATAATATGATTTTTATTATAATACAAATTTATTGAATAAATCTGTTTGGTGTGGGATTCCAAAGTTGTTTTTCTAAACACATCCATATTCATTAATGTCTCCTCTCTTTTTTTTTTTTTTGGCTGGTTAAGATATGTCAAGTCATCATACCCTCTACCAAGGCAGTGTATTTTGAGTTTGAGTTGTGTCTATACTAGATACGTTGAAATTTGGTTGTTTAAAAGTTCGTGCCGGTCCAAGTTTGTCACCTATTATTTAAGCCGTGAAGTCTATCCTTAGATTCTGTGTGGCTTGCTTTTATTGAAGCCAACTCTTGTTGTATCAATGATTCAATAGTTTGTCAAGTATTATTATAGGGTAACAAAGTTGAAAAGGGCTTCGTGGGCCAACGATGTGTCACCTTATGAACCAAAAACTTATCTAGAGCTTTTGGTTGGTGAGGCTCTTGTACCTTAAAATATAATCGTCAGTCAGTTCTATCTCTGTCAAAGAATAGGTGTGGTTGACCTTGGCCCATTTAGTGATGGTTCAATCCTTCACATTGGCACGTAATTCACACATCCTTCACAAAAAGTCACCCACACCCCTTTCCCTTCTAGACATGAATTTCCATTTTCGTGATATCCACTTCCACTTTCATTCTGCCCTTGAAATTGGGTTGCTTGTTCTTCATCAATGTTATTGTTTGTGAATTATGATGATGATAACCCGGATTTGGCCATCATAAGACCTCCTCAACTATTGTGTTTTGAATTAGTCGTTTCATGTGATTGAGGTTTGTAGTATGACCTAATTATAAAGGTTAATATATGTTTTTCCCTCTCAATGTTTAAGTCATAAAATGTTTAACAAAATAAAACAAAGAGGTTGATCATGATTTCAAATTGGGAAAAGATGGGTTGGTTAAATGTGAAGTTTGAGATATTTATGTTTGTATCTATATGTTGTTACATTCCGAGTAGAAATCTTTTTATTTTTTTTTATTGATAAATCGTGCAATAGGGCACATCTTATTCAAATAAACAAAATTTCATATCTAAAAAGAGATTTTCATGGGCATATGCTTCGTAATTATGTCACTTTCATTACTATTACTGGAAATTACTGAGATGGACGCTTTCATTAGCGTGGCTTATTCTGAAACACTAACTATTCTGCACAGATTAAATGCATTCTCACAACACCCCACCCGGAAAAAGAAAAGAAAAGGAAAAAAAAAAGAAAAAAGAGTCCGCATACGTACCAATATTGGTATATGCTAGTTCATATTTATCCACATTAAGATATTACTCGGGAATTATAATTTATCCAAAACCATTGCAATTAACAACATCCACATATTTATGGTGCAAATAAATAAACACCCCATCTATATCTTGCAAATAATTGAGACACGAAGTGACATAATATGCTTTTTTAACGCAAAAAGAAATGACTGGAATCTATCTTAAGTTGTAATCATGAATGATATTATTGGGCGTAAGTTCTTTAAATACAGATCAAGAACACACCGAACATTAACTGATTATACGCAACGACAGTGGAGTATAAAGTAACCTGCCATATACTGGTATTTGTTTATTCGTAATGTTTTGAAGAATCTATAAACGTGGTATTCATTAATAATCTATTTTTGCTACCTCGTGAAAAGAGTTGTATATAATTAAGAAATAAAGAATTTTCTAGCTGCAATGTTGCGTAATTATGAAATAAATTTCAGTACAGTATTTTATAATCGATGGTGCAAAAAAGATTACAATAATTGGCGGCAAAGAGAGTTGAAGATGAATTATGCATGTGAAACAATGAAGAATTGAAATTTGATGATAAATGGAAATAAAATGAAGGCATAAATAGGAGCGGCAAGTGTAAGTGTAAGTGTAAGTGTGCGTTGTGTGAAGTGATAGTAGAAAATAAGTTAGATTGATTTGGAAAAGAGAAGTAGCATTAGCATTAGCATTAGCATAAATATAAGATAATATTAATAGGAAGGCCATGGCTACAAAAAGCACACATCGTAGAGACGTGCACGCAATCCTATGCCCATTTGTCTCTTTCTCCTCTACGCGTTTTTACCCTTTTTTAGTTAATTTAATTTAACGTACCATTGCCATTTGCTAGATACATATAAAAACTATATACATGTTGACTTTGACTTCCCATGTGTCCCCACATCCCATTCCTCATGCACACTCCAAAGCCAACTAAACACCTTAAATTATTGGCCAATTTGAGGTGTATGAATATGAAAATAATGATTATAATATACTCTGAGTCTCATCTCATGTATATTAAAAAAGAGAAAAATAGAAAATATTGGAAGCAAGAGGCGCCGCAATCATCGCCTGCGTGTTCTTATTTCTAGAAAATCGTGAACAATATGCCAACGCGTTAAGTCTTTTTCACACCATTTTAATCTTTCTATGCTGTGTAGTAAAATTCAGGGAAAGCGCGGGAAATATTTGGTACCATCTACGTGTTTTTTTTTAATATCATCTATTTCAAAAGATTTATATTTATTCATACAAGTTTTTAGTAGATAATAAAGGGTATGGGTTTCTTAAATGAAATTCTCAACGTAGTAGGAGGAGCTTCTAAAAACATTAGCAAGAAAACTAAATGACTTGCTGTTGCTATTGTATAATCTAACAATTTTAACTTTTAAATATTTCATTCATTTTTACTATTATTTTTTATATATATATATTTTATGAATCTCACGTCCAATTCATAATTTTTCCCTAATTTAGATATAATGAACCGAAATTATTGATTTATGAAGTGACATGAAGTATTCCTCCGTATCATTTTATTTCACGTTCTGACATTCTTTTCATTATACTTTTTATTGTCATTTTATAATATTAATAAAAGATTACTTATTTTCTATTATATATTTATAACCATTTATCGTAAAATGGAAAATATTGTTTTATTAATATATATATATATATATATATATATATAATATTACATAATAAATTTTATAAAAATTATATTTCTTGTAGTTTAGTTTCTGTGTTAAGGAATTAGCTCCTAAGTGAGCAAGCGTATAAGAGGTAATTTTAGTCATTAACGAAATAAATTAATATTCTATTATACTTATGATTTATTATAAATGTGCCTGAAATATCAATATTAATTTTCTTGTAGTTTATAAAAAAACAAAAAAAAAATTTCAAGACTTGGCAATCTCGAATCAAATTAAAGACGATATCCCCACCAAAAATAACATGACGTACATCTATTTTGAACACTGTCTGTGCAATTATTTAATTCAGCATGTTAACCTTTTTGATAAACTTTGTTTAAGCAGAGATAACAAGGCTATATGGGGGTAATAAATGTTCTTTTATCATGTTCAAGGCAACAACAGCTAGAGAAGAAAAAACAAACGGTATCTTCGACAGAAACTTCAATAAGATTTTCTTGATTAAATCGGATGTCATTTTTTTATATGTTGCGGTTGAAGGAATAATGACTAATATTTTTATATGAATTAATTCTCATACTTGATTAATATTATAAAACTGTGTATTACTTTGGTCAAAAGTTGTTGCATTGTTGGGTTGACTATTTTAGAGCAATAGACTACGGTTACAAACAAAACAAAAGTTCAAGATGAGAAAGAGCTATAACATTGAGAGCTATTTTATTTTTTTTTAAATTATTGAAAACATGTCAGATATTGAGAGCATCTAAAGCAATAAATTAAGTTTTAGAATAAAATCAGAGCACCTAATTTCTTCTGAAAACATTTCGAAGGAAATGGAATATTATTATGAGAAGTGTAGGTGCTTTTGGAAAATTTAGCCTAAACAGAAACTTATAGAACTTGTTCACAAGTATCGTTGGCCTTAATTAAAGTATAATCTAGTATGGAAATCATAGATGGTGACACACATCTAGAACACAGCTTTATATTATTAAAATTACAAAATGGGTTTGGTTTGGTCGTTTTAAAAAGGACTCTGACAAAAAAATATTCGAATCATAGGTAGATTAATCAATT